GCCCGCCAACAAATAATAACACATAAACATTTCATAACTAACACATACAACTGGTTCTGTCCTAAGGCCTCGCCTATCCTGGGCCTCGCCCATATCCTGCTACTGATGAGTCATGGAACCCCGTCCACGCTACTAATGGTAGTGAGGTACGGGCCTAGCCTACTCCCACGCTTGTTCTAGTTCGGGCCTCGCCCCTATTGTGCTACTAATGAGATATCGAACCCCATCCACACTCTGCTACTGGTGAGATACGGGACCTCGCCCACACTCACCTCCCTACCAGGCACATACATGTATCACACAGACAGCAAGTATAAACTATCATATAAACAATTCCTTGGGCACCCGCCCGCTATTACAGGACCTCGCCCTGAGAATAACACTAGCATACTGTGCCTAGGGCTAACCCCCGGGTCTTCTACTCATAACTACATGGGCCGGCATTGTGGCCTTAGACCCATTCACTCAAAAGGGAAACTCACCTGCACTGGCTGAACTTGCAGTTGATCTCACTAGCTGCTGCCCAACAACTCACGGAACTCCTGCTCCCCTTGCTCCCCGAACTACCAATATCAATGCAACACTGAGTCTAACTGACCCCCGAAAGACAACCAAGTCCACCCTGGTCCAAAGTCAAAGTCCTGGTCAAAGTCAACCTTCCAGGTCAACCCTACTCGCCGAGTCACCCTACTGACTCGCCGAGTTCATAATATTCAGATTCCTTCCATTCCTGACTCGACTCGCCGAGTCTACCGATTTCTGAGTCCAGACCTGTCCAACTCACTGAGTCTCCACCCGACTCACTGATTCGAGTCACAACTCGAAGGGTTTGGGGGTTTCGCGACCTGACTCGCCGAGTCCAAGAACAGACTCGCCGAGTCCAAGGCAATCTTCATACGACTCGACGAGTTGTTCATCCCACTCGTCGAGTTTCTCCACAACTTCATGCTACTCGCCGAGTCCACTCAAAGGACTCGCCGAGTCCCTTCAGTTCTCCTTACATGCAGAGGATTTTTGAGTCATGCATGGACTCCAAACTATAGATCCACCCTTCCCAAGCCTATTCCACACGTAAAGTTGCAAACTTTACGTGTAGAGAAGGAGATCTAGGCAAAATATGCCATAAACTAGAGTGTAAGGCCAAGGGGTTTCAAAATTGACTTAATGGATGATACTTTATGCTTCTCCAGGTCATAACACACTTGGATCTGAAGTGGCAACTCCAGATCCGGCTTCTAACTCAAAATAATAACATTATGGCTAAAAAGCCCCAACAACCACACATAGATCTAGGTGCAAAAGGGTCCAGGAACTAATTTATTACCTCCAAGTGCTCAGAATGATCTCACAATCCCAGATTTATAGCTCCTTCTTGTTCCTCCAAGTTCCTCCTTCCTTTTCCAAGCTTTAATGCACCTTCCAAGGCTCAACTAGGAGATGTGACGGCTAGGGTTTGATATTTGGGGCTAAAGAGGCAGTAAGGAACCCTAGGAAGAAGATTTAGACATTTATATAGGCCCCAAGTCCCGAATTTAGGGTTTTCCACGCACAGACCAGACTCGCCGAGTCACCTTGGCCGACTCGCCGAGTCGGTCGCTTACACTAGACCCGGATCCCGCTCGGACTCGCCGAGTCCCTCCTTGGACTCGCCGAGTCGGCCCTTAAATTAGGGTTTTTCTTTCCTTTCATGGCTTTTTAAGACTTGGGTGTTACAATATTATTATGTCATCTCAATTCCTAAGTCATAATCGTTAGAATTTCATTGCATATAAAATTTTATTAACCATTCTTAACATTGTAGCGTCTATAGAGAGAAGTTTTTCAAAGTTGAAATAAGAATTACTTAAGTTTTGATCTCACAAGAAATGTTGAACACTTTGACTATTTTATATATGGATAAAAATGTAGACAAAATTAATCTTGGTATTAATTTTTTTAAAATGACAAAGAAAATTGGTTTCCTTTGATTTAAATTCATAACTAATTGGAGAGAAGGTACACCACACTCGTTTAGTTGATTTGTTCATAGGAAATGAAAACTAAAAGTCTAACAAAATTTATTTGTTAAAATATCCAATTTTGGTTTATCTTTATGCAATTGATTTTTTTTTTATTCTAACTTTTTACTATTTTTAATATAATTCGACAGATAAAAAATACAATCTGTAATTGTTTTCGGTAATTATCATATCTAATCAATTATTTGTATTGTGTACCAAATCATCCTTGATCCATCTTTCTAACTCCGTAACACGTTTACAGGCGTGGAAAATCGTTAATTCGTAGTCATTTGGAATCCAGTGAGCTTGAACTTGTCTCAAGATATTAAACATTTTAATCAAGAATCTATATTATGAAACATTCTAACAAAATTATCATTCCTTAAACTTACATCAATAAATATCCATTCTATTTATTCAAATATTAAAGAAAAAAATGTAATTAAAGAATAAGAAACATTGCTCAAACTCATACCTTATGGCTTATACCTACTCTTCTTTTTTAATCCCAAATCTCTTCTTCAGCTTGGAGATCTCTTTACTCTTCAATCCAAACGCCTTCTCCAACAACTCTGAGTCAATATCGGATCCAAACAAGGCTATCGGAAGCTTCACCGACCCTGGATTCTGGCTGTCAAAGCTCCCAAGAACGGTGGCCGGCGAATCCCCAACGTTCATCTGAAAATGCAACACTCCCCTAGGGAAAACCATCACCTCTCCTTTCTCAATCACCTTCGCAAACACTTTGTTCCCTGTGTCGACGAATCCCGAATAAAGCTTCCCTTCAAGCACATACGCCACCTCCGTGGCTCGAGGATGATAGTGGGGGGCGTTAATCCCACCGACCTGAAAGTCAGCTCTGACAAGCGACATTCCGAGCGTGTTGAGCGCCGGGAACACGGTGGAGGAGACAGGCACCCCGGAGAATTTGTTGGTGAAGTTTCCGGGATGTTTTATGCCGGAGAAGACGAAGTCGTCAACGGTGACGGATGAGGAGTTTTTGCAGAGGTGGGTGTGAGGCGAGGGCAAACAGTAGTCTTGAAGTGGATCGGGGTCTGAGCCAAAAACCAACGATGGTTGTTTGATGGTGGAATGGAAGACGAAAGTAGCGATGAAAAGTGTGATTTTAGGGAACATGGTTATAGCCATGGGGACATGGGGTATAATGTTGGATCAAAGAGTGAAAATTTATAGGGTAATTTGCATTGGTGGGTTTTGATCAGTCGTATGAGGGTTTAAGAAAGTGAACTTCAATAATACACCATCGCACCTTTCTTTAAAAGGTATTAGGTATTGACTGACACTTCCGAAGGATGATTTTTTTTTTTTTTTTTACATGTATATATTAAGATCTTTTGTGACTTTGTATTATGTTTTTGTTTTATTTAAGTATAGGTTCTACATGTATTTTGTGTGTGTACTGTTGTAAATTGTATATGCATGATGGGGGATGGGTGGTGGTTATGGCTTTTTGTGTGTGGAATATGGCGTAAAAGTGAAAAGTGGAAGATGCAGAGGGGAACTTGTATTAGAAGGGAAGTGAAGTGATGTGGTGATAATGCTGTCCATATGCATCATGACATTGATTCATTTGCTTCCAACTCTCCAAGTGACTACAATTTAATAAAGTATCATACAAAGCTAAAAGAAACATGTCATTACTTATTTTGAAGATATTATATACAATTATACGTACCATGTGAAGTTGATATATTATCATTTTATTATTTTAGATAAACATTTTTACCCTCTTTATCGGTGAAACTATCTTCTCAATAAAATAATTAAAGATATGTCGGACAAAAATATTTGGAAACCGACATGGTGGTATATTAACATTTCTAATAATTATTCTGAATAATTATTAAATTGGGGAAAGATTCATGTAGGCGGATAACATGTAGTTCAAATAAAGTGTTTAGATATGGTTGTTATTGTAGTATTTTGAGCTTTTTGATCAAAACAAAATTTTAAACCAGACACACAATAGATTGTAAATCTTTTATTTTGATCATAGATCATTTATAAGTTAGCATCAAGTTTATTAATTATTAATAATATGTTCAGTAAAACGTGGATTACAAAATTAAATAAAAATGAAAATGACTTGAACCCTTGACCAAAGACATATTTTCATCAACTCTTGATACCAATAGGTTATAAGTCATTTGGCCAACTCCATCAACTCTTGATACCATTTATCACGTTATTTTGGTGTAAATAAATAGCATAACACTCAATTTGATAAAATGGTGCAAAAATTGTGTCATTTTTAATCTCTTTTATTGTTATTTAATTTTAATTGGATATTAAATTGATATTAATTAATTATAATTATAAAAGTTAATTTAAATTTACGTTATATATTAAATTGATATTAATTAGTCATAAATATAAAAACTTAACTTAATGTTTGGAACTTATGTAACATTTTTCATTAACAAATGTCAGTTTAATAAAATAACATTTAATTGAATTAATAATATATGAATGATTAGTTTGGTTATAGTTTAGTAATTAATATATTTTATGAAGTTTTTTTAAAAAAAACATACATAAATATGTTAAAAACTAATTAGGTGAAGTATGTGTTTAACAAATCTATATAAATTCATAAAAAAATATATAGTAAAAAATATTCTTTTGTTGTAAAATATAGTAAAAAATATTCTTTAGCACATCGTACATTTTGTGCAATTAACCTTTCATTATAATATAATATCACATGACAATGTGATCATTTGAATAACATGGAAATTAAGGTCCATGCGTATTGTGTTATCTCGTTTTATAGTAGAATAATATATATCATCCTACATTTAATACATATGATGTACTTTTACCAATTAATACAAACCATGAAAAGGAAATTATGGTTGGAAAGACTCGCTGATCGTTTACTAATAAAGACCATCACATCAATTTCATAATCTTTATAAATCAATTCTTCGAGATTTTATCATGTTCTGGTTTTTTAACTGTTTCCAGTTTTCAGTTTGGGTTCAATAAACTTTAGAGAACACAGAATCCAAATTAAGGAACAATATTCCAAGAGATGAGATGAGATGAGAAGAGAAATATGATATTAAAAAACACATAAAGAAACCCTATAAGCTAATTATAATTAAAATTTCTAAAAAGAAAAACAAATAAACCGCATTATGATAAAGTAAAAAAGGAGTAAAAAGTCTGCATCTAAATGCTACACTACATTTGTAAGATAGGGCATGATATGTTATGGTTACAAACAAAGACACAAGGATCTTCAAGGCACCATTCCCACGTGTGAGTTTCATGAACATGTCTCAAGCCTCTTTCTTTGTGATTCTGATAATTTTAGCCATATCCATATGATTAGCGTCAAAAAGTCAACAATTAAAATGGATAAAAGTAAAAAAAAAAAAAATGTAGGTTTTGTTACCTAAAACAGTAAATTCCAAGAGCTGTTGTTATTTCATGAATAACTGACGTGGCAAAGTGCAGATACAGTGCAGCTGCAAAAGATCACCCAAAAACAAAATCAAGTGGTTGTATAATATTAAAAATATAATATGATGAAACAAGACAATGGTTTTTTTGCATTTATTTTTCCACAATATGTATAAAATTTTCCATTCCTGTAAAATCATTACAGAATTACTTCAAAGGGTTCAAATGATGAAGATAACCACCATACCTGTGTATACACAGAAACCAAGAAGAACCCATTTCTCATCAACCAATGGAATTCTGCCACAAATAAAAAAAATCATCAATAATTAGTACAAATAAAAAGTGATGGGGTTCTTGATTTTTCAAGAAAAAAATATATGAGTTTTACTTTGAGCCAAATGACTACATAGTACATACCCATCATTTAACCCTGCAGTGATTGTATTTGCAATTCCAAGTGGGAGATAAAGCAAGGACTGTAAATTAACAACATAAATCAAGTTATTAAATTTCAGCTTATTTGTTGAAATTATATACAGAAATTAAAAAGAATTTACCATGCACATGCTGGTTTTCAATCCCTTGGGTTCATCACACAAGTGAGCCAATATCATCCTTCCCTGCCAACAAAAATACAAATAAAATTTTCTTATTTTTATTCAGAAATCAGAATTTGATTAAAAGAAAAATGAGTTCCATTTAGTAATAATCACCACAAGGAATCCAAAAGCTAGTCCAGTTCCCATCACCACCATATGTGGGTAGTTGTCAATTAAATTAGATGGAGACATACAATCCCTGAAAACATTAAATTAATAATAATAATAATAATATAAATAACCCAAACCCGAGACTTTAAAGAAAAAAAAAAAGTAAGATATAAAGAGGAGGTGTATACCAGAGAATAACTACTACCAATAGCACAAAGAATGGGACAAGCTGGCATAAAAAAAATTAAAAATTAAAAAATAAGCCTCTTAATAAAAATTAACAAAAATAATAGAATGAACAAAAGCAAATGAATACCATAGCCAAGGCATTTATCATGCTTCCTTTTCTAGACTCCACAACCTTATAAACATTCTGAACACTGTAAAACATAGAGCAAGTAATATCAAAATTAGGACATTTTCTGAACTTTAGAGATAAAAAATAAACTATTATAAAAACTTCTATGATTAAATGAAGAGATTAAGTTACTTGAATGTGACAGTGGGTATAACAGCAAAAACAACCATAAAAAGCAAAACAGCTCCATAGGTAGGGATTCCTGTATAATACAATAAAATGATCAAATTAAAAAGGCAGCAGAATTTATAATCTATGATGTTACTTACTTTAAAGTTTAAAGATCAAAAATTATTTTACCATTTAAATATGGAACCCAACTTAAGAGGGGAATGGACTCTCCAAAACTCTGAGCCCACCACTGTGCACCTGAAATTATGATATATCTAATGATTCGATTGTTTAAGCAAATAAATTGGATAAAAAGAAAAATGTTACATTGCATACCAACTATAGCTGTAAAGAAATGTGCCATATATATAAGCATGAGACCCTCTGTAGGCCCATTTACTGCTGGAAGGATTAAGGTGTTGGTGAAATAGCTGGAACATGGATCAGCATGACATGTCAGCAGTCTCTTAAAAAAATGATATAAAATGGAAAAGAGGACTACTTACTGTTCCCATGTGGCACCATAAAATGGAACAGCTGAAATCACCCAAAACCAAAATGTATTTCTTCCACACATTGCAGTGCTTCCAAAAGCCAAAGCCTCTAGCTGAATTACAAAATCAAGAAATTATGAATTGAAAAAGATCGTTTAAGAAAGGAGTAGAAGAATTGAGGATTAAAGAGAGCATACAGCACATGCAAGTGCATCACATCCATGATCAAAAAGTTCTCCTAATGGGCTGGAAGAACTTGTCCTTCTAGCTTGTTTTCCATCAACAGCATCAAACGTCTGGTATAAAGATTGAGAAGATTGGAAGTAAATCAATGAACATTTATACCAAAAGTTTATAAGAACTGATTCTGAGGTTAATATATGTAAAAGAAACCTGATACAAGAAGAGAAGTAGTCCATGGGCAAAATGAACCCATCTTGGTGGAGCAGAGTCCAAATGTGGTGAGTATATCTGTTTAAGTAAATGTGACATACATTTTAGGCCAAAACATGAAGAAATTTTTTATGTCAATACGACTGACAACTATCACTCATGTATAGATATAGCCTTGTAAATATGCCAATATAGCCATAATGAACATGAGAATACGAAATGAAGAGTAGGTAAGATGTCATGTAGTAAAAAATGATCAAAACTCATTCACTCACATAACCAAGCACTGCAGATATGAGCAAGAACATGAATCCCATGAGTGTAATCTGAAACGAGAAACAGAAGTTTTAGTGAAGGAAATGAAGGGCGAATTCTTTACATTGTGATTGAAAAGGCATGTTTACCATATTAGGCCTGAGGTGTCCACAACACAACATGCAAGAAAACAAAAAACAATGAGTTTGTATCAGAAATGCATACACGAACCAGGCGTTCGTCTCCAATGAAACTAACAAATGTAATCATATAATCATCCATCAACAATTTTTTATTGTAGGAAAAAAAAAAAAAACAAATAAAAGTTGAGTGATACAGTGTTACTTACGGCATCCAAAGAGGGAAGAAGGTAACAAATCGAGTCCAGAAAGGTTGCAAGACATATTTTGCGAGATAAGAGTGATCAACTCCACTGTACTTGTATCTATGCAGTGCATTGATGCCATGACCACCTATGTAACCCATTGTGTATATCGATATCTAGCTTTTACAGCCTGCAGTTTATGAAAAACACTGTTACTTGACAAAATTCAAATCAGAGAACAAAAAGCAATACAATAATAATAGCATGATTTTTGAGGTAAACATCAACAACTCTTTGCCATAAAAATAACCACCGTTAAACTGCTAATCTCCACCAACATGCATATTACTCAACTTTTTTTTTTCAAATCTACCCTTTAGCCCTAGTTCCCCTACGAAGTTTGTTCCTCGATCGTGATTCTCTAGAAAACTACAATCAAGTGTAAAACTAAATTGTTCCAACTTCTAAAACCGTGCAAGTATCAAGAAATTTAATTCACGGTTTACATCAACGAAAGAGATGCAAAAATAGGATCTGATTTATAAAACAGGGTTTAAGGATTGAAACCCCGGAGTGGAAACAACGATCTTTGTATGTGCACAGCAAGATATAGCTCCAAAAGATTGCAATAAAGCGAAAGGGAAATGCAAAAGGAGGAATTTACATGGAAAATTTAGAGAAAGTGAAATAGAAAAGTGGATGTGAGATTGAGCGCACCAAGAGGAATGGATTCGATTTGTGAAATGCAAGCGCTAGTTTGGCATATGAGAATGATTCGATTTTGCGAGTTATCTCCCGCCCTAGAAGTTAAAAAGCGAGTAAAATATTCCGAAATGTAGATTTTTTTTTATTGGGTTCGGATTCCCATGACTCCAGCGGATCATGGGTTGTCATTTGCCACAGATCAGGGCTCATTTCAATTTTCAACGTTTGATTTTTTTAAGAGCATCGAGGTTCCGATAAAGTGTTAAAATTAAAGCCCATGTTCATTATTAAAAAAGATAGGATGATAAAATGGGAGAAAATTTTATTTTCTTTTAAGAATATGTAATTAAAGCTAAATTTCAGAAAAATGGTTATTGTGGTTTAGCAAATATCACAATTTCAAACTAAGTTTTTGAGAGTTTAGCCATTGGAAGTTGTGGTTGAGAGTAAGGAAGAGAAGGCTACTCCACCATTGTGGATATATCGGAACTTGTAGTTAGGTGTTGAGAAGAAAAAAAGACTCGCCATAACGGCGTTCTTTCTTTTCGTATTAACTGTCGATTGTCGATATAGATTTATAGTAGGTTTGACCCCATGCAATCTAAGTGTGTTAGAAATAAAGATGTCATTTATAGATACACCAAGACCCTCATCAAATTTAAGAAAACGTCAACTTTGTGATTTTGCGAATTGTTTTGTATGTTAAGCATTTGAAGCTCAATAATTAGAGAAGGTTTTTAGTTGTTCATGTATCATTCTCTTTGTTTTTCTTGAAGTTTTAATATACATACATACATACATACATACATACATACATACATATATATATATATATATATATATATATATATATATATATATATATAGGGAAAGGATCAAATGAGAACAACTAAAAGGTTGAGAACGCGAGAACAGGTATATTCAATTGTGATTTCATGTATTCATTTGTGGAGAAATGATAATTTTTTACGCACAATCAACATGAATATACTTTTTCTCTTCAATTGAAATTAAAGTCGTAAAAATTTATCATTTCTCCACAAATGAATAAATGGAATTACAAATGAATATACTTTGTTCTCGCGTTCTCAACCTTTTTGGTGTTCTCATTTGATCCTACTCCTCTATATATATATATATATATATATATATATATATATATATATATATATATATATATATATATATATATATATATATAATGTGGATTTCTACAATAAAAATCTCAATATTTTGGGAAAATTAAAAAAAAAAAACTTTTTTTTAATTAAAAAGCCCAATAAATCGAATAAACCCTAACAATTTACTCATTCATTTGGTAACCCTCATTTAACCGGTTACAAATACTTATGTGGCATCTTAATCGTGATTGTAAGTTAACTTCATATGTTTAGGGTTCTCCTTTAAAGAAAATCCATTTATTCTCATTTCCTTTACTCTCGACAATATGTGGATTCATCCAAAGCAAAGCCTCTGTTCCTCCAAATATTTTTTTGATGGATGAAGTATTTAATTCGGACACCATCGACGTTTAACTTGGTGATTTTTTCAGAAGAAATCCAGTTTCAAGATGCATAAATGAGTTTCTTAACGTTTTATATGAAGAGAGTGATGATGAACCACTGGGAGGTGAATGAGAGCATGCATGAGTGGAGTCCGACGATTATGGAGTAGATAATAAGAAAGACACTGAAGAATATAGTGATGAAAATCAAATCGAATATTCTATCCATGATCCGAAGGTCAAATGGAATGTTATGAAACTAATTCTCGAAGAAAGGTGTGAGTCCATAAATCAACTCAAATTATGTTTTAACAAATTATTTCGTCCATAAGGTTATAAAGATTCGTTTCAAAAGTGTGATAGTGTTAGACTAGTGGTTGTATGTTCAAGTGATCCAAAAACATGTCATATTATGGTTCGTGCTTCATGGATGACTACTAAGAAATCATTTCATGTGAAAAAGATTAATGACATGCATACATGTGTAAGGAGTTTTAATAGATCAATACTTATAAATCCAACTTGGTTAGCAATGCAACTTGTGAAAAATTAAAAAAAAAAAAAAAAAAAAAAAACTAGTAAGGAAACCAAAGTTAAAATGCAAGGAAATGCAGACAATAATTCAAAGTAAATTTGATTGTAAGGTCTCATGGTCAAAGTGTTATAGATCAAGGTGTAGGGCACTATCCTTAATTCATGGCAAATTGAGTGACCATTATGCAAGAGTGTAGGATTATAAACATTAATTAATGAGGTTCAATCCAGGTAGCCCAGTTAGAATTTATGTTAAATTAAACCCTGATCAAACTTCAACTTTTCATAGAATGTAAGTGTGTTTTAAATCAATCAAATAGGGGTGTAAGATAGGATGTCATAAGGTTATAGAGTTGGATGGTTGTTTTTTTAAAGGGACAATGAAAGGGTGAGCTACTAACTGCAATTGGCAAAGATGCAAATAATCAAATTTACGTTATAGCATGGGTCGTTGTTGAGGTTGAAATTAGTTAGTGAATATCTTTCAATGGATAATAACATGGAATTATGTGTCATTAGTGATCAACACAAGGTAATGACAGGTTCCTTTATTTACATAGCATCTATTATACTTACTATTAATAGTTACTAATATACTTATTCATGTACTAGGTTCTTATTGAATGAACAAAGGAAATTACACCCCACGTAGAGCACAAATAATGTGTTATGCATATTTATGCTAATTTTAGGGAAGTGTATAGTGGGAAGGAATTCATAAACATGTTTTGGGTATCTACAAAATCCACAACATAAGGGGATTTCAGATAAGCATGGAAAGTATAGAGGCTTTAAGTGAAGGTGCTTATGATCATCTTATGGCTAGAGACCATCATTCATGGTGCATGGTATATTTTGGTAGTGGTTTTGCATGTGAGGTTGTAGATAATGGGTTTGTAAATTGTTTAAATATAGTCATTGTGGATGTTAGAAAGAAGCCTCTCTTGGCTATGCTTGAAGAAATAAGACTCTACATGAGGGAATTTTTCTACAACTTAAAAGAGAAAGCACATAAATGGGATGGTGATGTGCGTGAAGCATCACTGCTGAAGATGGAGACATTTGATGAAGATATAAGGTATAAATTGCATTTCATATATAAATACAGGTTTTTAATTGAGTATTTATACTAATCCAACATTAATCAAGCAAACACTAATCAATCAAGTAAGAATGTAGTAGAAGAAACATAATCAATCCAAGCATGCAGACGTTTTATAACTCGAATAAACGTCTGATACACCTTGGGAACTGTGAACTATAGAGAATCATTGATTCTCCAACAACCTGACACAATTTTGACACGCCCTATATATAGGGGTAGGTTGGTCGTAAACAGGTTTACGGCCGTATACATAATATAGACTGTAAACATGACAAAATTAGCTAAAAACGACCAAGAACCTAACAAGACTTATACAAATGATTACCTAGCCCAAACCACAAAATAATGACCTTTCATAATAAAACTTCTTGAAAAAATCCAAAGGTTGTCTCTGAACCAAAACCCCCCAAAAAATAGGCATACCCAAGTTGAATATTGATTTGACTAACTGGACAGTATCTATAAGAGGTGATATAGGATGAAACAAATGGGGGTTTGTGGATCTGGTGGAAGAGGCAATAGAGGTGGTGGCAGGGGATCCGACTGTAACGTTCGTGTTTCTCGTGTAACGGTCAGAATGCAAGTATTTGCCTTTTTACCCTTGGAATAAAATTATTTTTCATGGAGTTTCCCTAGGTACGTTGGGCTTATATGTGCGTACTCTTAGTGTATTAGGGAGGAATGGACGCGGTCATGCACCACGTACGCGGGGCGTACCAAAGAGTACACAAGGCGTACATGGATTACGACCAAAAACCTAATTTTAGGGCAAGGACCCTATTTAAAACACTCTTATGCTATTTAGACCTTGCCCTAAACAGCATCTATTGCTCTTATCGTCCAAAAACCTTAATTTTGCAAAAGAGTGTGATCCTTGAGCTTAAAAGTGTTTTTGGTGGCCATTTTAATGGGTTTGCGAAAAGGAGAAGGTGGTGGCCAAGTCTTAAACATTGATGAGATTTTAGATCCGGCAACTATTTCATCTTGGGGAGCTGTTGGAGGTAAAAAATTTAGACCTTGAGTATTCCTTTCTCTATAATGAGTTAGGGTAGTTATGAGTTCATTTATGGTCCATGGATCCTCTTTTGTGAGTTTGAGTAACTACAGGGGTTAAGGATGATAGATCTAGGTCCATTTGTCTGGTTAAAAGCATAAAAATGCTAACTTGATGGTTGTTATGGCACCATACACGAGTTTAATGTATTAAAGAGAGTCTTAATGGATAAAATAAATTGTTGGGTTCCCATATGGTATACAAAGGCATAAAGCTGCCAACTTTATACCCTGGGACCTCTAATATGACCTAGATCTGA